GGGAGCAAGGATTGTTGGAGTGACCTTGGCTGGCTTTTCTGGCATCCTCAGTCTTCATCGCTGTATCAGATCCTCCCCCCAGCGCAAGGGAGATTATATCCTCGAAGGTACTGGGTGTCACAGTGTCGACACCGAAAACCAGAAGCAGCAGAGTGAGCACAGTAGGCGCCTGCTCTGGGTACCAGCTTCCTCCCTTCACTGGGAGCGCTAGGGACCAAGGAGACAGGGCGTGCTGGCACCTGGGACTTTTGTCACAGACAGCATCTTTTGCAGCCTGAGCCTTTAATCATTCCATGTGAAATGAGGTCTGAGCTTTGGCTCATCCTGAACCTTCGGTGGGGAGGTGAGCTCCCAGACTCCTGCCACCAGAGGTGGCCTGGAGGGGGGATCCAGCAGCAGGAAAAGCGGACTGTCACTGCTTTCTTCTTCCCTTCCTTCTGCCTGTTCTCGGATCATGGCAGAAACTGCCAACGGCCCTACTACACCAGCAGCACAGGAGATATTCCTGCAAAGAAACATCCTGGTCATCCTGGTATGTCCATCCCCACACACACGGGGGGTGGTGGGCTCATGGCTATTCAGGCCACACGCTGTTGTCAGCTGAACCGATGTGGATCCAGCTGGGCTCTGCCAGGCTCTGGGATCAGGCAGCACTGATGGTGCTGTCCGCCTGTTCCCTGCCTTGCCCCAGCTCCGGAGCACATCTTGGATGCTGGTTTCCTTCCTGAACCCTCCTGGTTCTTGGCTGCAGCAGCGATAGATCATGGGGCTCTTGGCCAACACTGGGATGTCGTGCGGCTGCTGACAGGCCAGCAGCAAAGTGTGACACATCACATGGGATGTCAGAGCAGCCCGTGTCTCTGCTCATAGGCCATGCGGAGGATTCAGCCATCCCGGTAACCTCATGACTGTCTCAGAGAGCAGAGCCCAAAGGGGTTGGGAGGAGAGATCCCCAAACAGATCCTGGGTCTCCAAGTGACCCTAAGCAGCAAATCTGAAGCACGTACTGCCCATGGCAGGACGTGTATGTGAACACAGGTGGTGTGACCGTATCCTTCGAGCAGCTGAAGAACCTGGGCCACGTTAGCTATGAGCAGGAGTCCAGCTACCACCTCCTGCAGTCAGTACAGCACAGACTGGGGCAGTCGTTTGGCAAAGCCAGAGGGGAGATCCCCATCATCCCATCCCCAGAGTTCCAGGCCTGTGTGACTGTGTCTGCAACCATGGAGGGTTGTCCTGGCTCACCTGCTCCACATTCCCAGACACTCCCGACTGCTGTACCCACGCGGGCAGCTGAGCTCGTGGCACCCCTGTGCTATCATCCCACTGGTGGGGGGGATGGAGTGGAGATGCTGCATGTGGTGGCAGAGCCCACCTCTGAGGGTGCTGCAGGGAGTCCCGTGGGAGCCAAGCCACGTGCTGGGGCCAGCTGCAGCGGTGCCAAGCCAAGCTCGGCCCACGGGCAGCGGTCTTGCACCAAGCAGAGGGGCTGTGTTTGATAGATGGGCTTGGGGAGCCAACCTCCAGCCTCTCCCACGAAGGATTCGCTTGTCCTCCCCCTCAGGGTGACTCAGAGAAGGACACTGCGTATTCGGGACTGGCCTACACCATGGAGCAGTCAGCCAAGGCATCTCCACGGGTCCTGGCCTCCTCCATCCCTGCTGTCGGGCCCTCTGTGCTGCGTGAGGGGTGCCCACCCTCAGCACCCCATCACCGCTGCCGGCGCGTCAGCATGAGGCCTGGGTGGTGGCTGTGCCCACACTTGGGGTAAAGCCACGTGCTCAGCGGTGTCCCTTGTTGCCATCAGGTCCCTGTTCCTCTCTCCATCCCCCCCGAACCCACGTTCCCCATTCCTGGGGTTGCTTAGATGAGCCAGTGGGTGCAGGGTTGTGCTGGCACTGCTGGGCTGGGAGTCTCCTGCCACCCCTCAAGGAAGTGGCTACGTGCTGTGCTCAGCGGCGTGAGTGGGGTGCATGGAGCCCACCCATGGGTGCAGGGTCTGTCCCCAGGGCGGTGCTGTGGGGTAGCACCTCCAGGCCCGCTCGTAGATGG